AAAAAGTCATAAACAAGGTGAGTATTCTAAAAGATCATCTTCTAATGTTAACGAGAAAGAGAAAAGCAAGAAAAGTAAAAAATATAGTAGAGGATGATAGTGAGACATTTCTTAAGGGTATGATGGAAGTTATGAAAAACTTTACTGAAAGTCAAGACAAAAGAATTGGTTCCTCGATTGAAAAGATGGGGGATCGTGATCGATCTGATGTTCGTGGTCAAGTTTATTCTATCCTTGAATCCCCTGTATTTGAGTTGTACACCACAGAGCAACGTATAAAAGCTGCAATGATTCTCTGTAAAGATGACAAAAAGATGGAATTATTTTTACGTATGGGTGAACATGATCGTCAGACAATGATGTGGATGGCTGTCCATGATAAACTTTGAAGTACGGTGAACTTATGATATAAGTGGCTACACTAGTTTAGTAATTTTTGCTTGAAATCACTTCAAAGTGTGACAACAGTGGCAGTTTTTTACACCTCTAATTATTAATGTGCGCATGAGCATGTTAAATCTTTTTGTGTAACTAAGTTTTATCAAAATATCTCAACTCTTGTGTCAAGGCTAAGTGCAGATGTAATTATATAGTTGTCATTACAGCTCTTCAAATTCTCGTGTAGCCATTTAATTTTGAGATTCTGAAATGCAATTATATAGCTGTTATGATAGTTGTTTAATCTGTCTTATATTTCTCTGTCTGGTCTCTGTTTTTTATTGTTAATTTATATATGAGTTGATGAATGTGTGTGATAGAAGAGGTGAATTCTATATTGCATGGGGATGGAATAATCTAGAATTGATCAGTGATAAGAGAGTGATCCATTGGAAGGCTAAAACATCACGATTGCATATTTATGTTTACATTGATCTCTGCTCAATTAAATGAACAAATAATCACTTCTACCACTTCAATTTGCATTTTCCTTGAAACAATGTTCTAGAATCAAAAGACCATATATCAATTGAAACAATTTGAAGTTGCAAGTTGATTCTTCAATAACTAAAACAGAACTCCAATAACAGAGGATTGTAATAAGCTGAATGCGGAAGAATAAGAAACTTAAATATTAGATTTTTGTTACACCAATTCAAACTTCCTACCCTTGTAAAAAAAAAAAGAATGTCCCCCTTAATTACATACTTCCTAAACTGTAGATAAAGTGAACTTACAATTCAAATAACAAATTTTAGACACAATATTTTATAACAACATTGCAAATTCTTGAAACAATTCATAGTAGATAATTCTTCAAAGAACATTATAGACATGAAAAAAATTCAAGTGCAAGCTGATGGACAAGACTCTCTTTTCCTTCTTTTCCCTTTTGCTTATTATAACAATAATTTTTTCAGATAGGAATTGATTAAAATACAAAAAGAAGAAAAGAGGAATGGAAAAGGAAATGCATGAAAGCCACCTGTTATAATGTGGTGGCAATCAAAAACAGATGGCACAATATTGAGAATTGAATAGTAAATGGAAATGACGACAGTATTCTTTCTAAATTGAAATTTGACAAAAAAACACACATGTTGATACCAATAGGGACTGACTCTTCTAATATAGTAGAAAATCTTATTTCAATATTGTAACAACTATTTAATTTTATATTTGAAAAAATAAAAGAATAGGAGTAAATTAATGTTTTAAGCAAAAGAACCTTGTTTGCAAAGAAAGTGTACAAAGAAATAAAGTAGTGAAGGGTATTTTTGTAAACAATACATTTTTTAATAGAAATTATGTCAGATTTGTTATTTCTAATACATCAAACCAAACAGTGTATAAGAAATAATGTAGGCATAACTAATACAAGCATTACTAATGCAAGCACTACTAATGCAAGCATTACTAATACACTTAATTTTGCATTGTTCTTATACACTCTACCAAACAACCCCTTAGTGTGAAAAAATGGTAAAGCAACGGTCATTAAATAATCAACAACAACAAAAAAAAATAGCAAATAAATTCCAAACAGTGTAGTAAAAATGAATGAAAGTAATAATAATAATGATAATAATAATAATAGTAATAATAATAATAATAATAATAATAAATAAATAAATAAAGAACCAAAAGGAAAAAATCTAAAATGCCATTAATGTTTTTTCTAGTGCGCGTGGGAGCTCAGATTTGGGGTGTGTTTAGAGTTGTTTCGTCGGAGTTTGGAGCTACTGTTGTTTGTCGAAGTTGGCGGTGGTCGGGTTGGAATTTAGATCTTTGAGCTCGTTGTTCGACGGAGTTTTGAGTTCACTGGTGACAGCATATTGCCGGAGTTTGCGACAGTTTTGAGGCTATCAGGTATCGCCTAAGTTATTGTTTGCCGGAGGTGATGTTGGCATCACTACTTCGTTGGAGCTTTGAGCTCGCTGTAGAGTCTATTAGGTTTCTCGTGGGTCGCTAGTTTCTGTTCGGAACTTGGTAAGTTGTTGTTGGTTGTGCGAGCATCGAGCTCATTGGTCCATTATGGTTTTGCCGAAAAAAAGGATGGAGGTTTTGGTCTGTCTGGGGTGGGTCTGGAGGAGGTCGCTTGGTGATGGGGTGGTTGTTTGGTGGCTGAGAACAGGGAAATGGGTGGTGATTTCGTAGCTTGTTCGCTTCTCCAGTTCATTGGAGCTTGAAACTCCTCGCCGGAGTCACGAACGGCTTAGTAAAGCTGCTGGTTTCAGGTGGCTTTTCGGAGGTTTAAGTGTGGAGGTCTGGTGGGTCTGAGATGGTGGCAGCAAGGTCATTTCTGGTGGTGCCATTCTGGTTCGGTGTAGCAGTTTGGGGTTTTCGTCGGAGGTTTGGAGCTATTTGGAGGTTGTTGTTGCTGGCAGTAAACAAAGAGAGAAAGAGGCTACGGTTTGGTGGAAAAAATGGTAGTTTCACTGGAAAAACGGGAAGAACAAAAGGGGGTTTTAGGTGGTGGACTCGCCGAATTTCGGCTAAGCTCCAATGACTTGCCGGAATAAATAAGAACAATGAAAGAGAACTTTTTGAGGGCTAAAATATTTGAAATTATCCCTAAAATATTATCCACCACCCCTAATTTAATGACCAAGCTATTACTTAATTAGAAAATTGAAAACCACATATAGTACAATACCATTATCTTAAATCGTGGGTCAAAATCACCGGTTAATAAAATATTTATGTATGAAATCTTATCCATATTTAAATGAATTTCTGGATTGTGCAAAATATCAAAATAAATATTAACAAATGTAACGAAAAAAATGAATATTAAAAATGTAATAAATATAACCAATGGCATGTAAAAATGCAATTTAACAGAAATAATGATTTAATAAAAAAATGAATAAATATTTGAATGTATTCAACTGGCTGTGACGAAAATAATATAAACAGAATTAACCGATAAAAATCTAAATATTTTGATAAATAAGAATAATTATCAACGAATTGCATTAAAATTGCAAAACAGGCATTTTAAACTATTTAACGAATGAAATATTTAAATGCATTAACTTTAAATATATTATACCAAAATTTGGTGCCAACAACTTGCCCCTTTGTTTGATTGTGATCGATGAAAGAGATCCTGATCAAACAAATTTGACGAACCCAAATTTGGTTTGATAAACTTCGAACAAAACAATATGAGACGTTGGTAAAGTTTTTGAACAATACTCTACATCGGTCAACGGGGTTGAAAATAATAAACAAAAGGCAAGAATTGATCGTAAACTTAAAACATTCATAGACCTTCTATGTTACTTCCAAAATTGCACAGCGAAAGTAGCGTACCTCTTTTTGAGGAAGACGATGTGAATGACATGTCACTTTGAACGAGGTGATAGCTTGACGTGTCTCTTGAAAGTCAGACGACGACCCAACTTGAACTTAACATGCCACTTAGAGGAAGGTCACAATCCAACATGTCTCTTCGAAGGCGAACGACCCAACTTCAACATAACATGTCACTTTGAACGAGGTG